GGGCAATTAATTGCACCCCATGACCAATCTAAACAAACGAACCCAACTCATAAAATTCAGACTTGGATGCAATTCAAAAATTAACACGCTTCTGCAACATTAAAAACTGCAAAAATCTGATCATTTCTCACATACCCAATTAAAATTAGTTCAAAAAACGAAAAGGGTCAGTGGAGAATGGGACTCACATGGGATTTTCTCTAACAGAGGAGCTCCGACTTCTCTGAGGATCCAAGAAACGATCAAGGAAAGGCCGAAGAGACCACAATAAGCAAGTCTAGCTGATTTCCTGGAAATCCCAGAGGCCACGGAGCCGCACAGGCCGCACGTAGAAGCAGCAATGCAAGGCAAGCAGCACGACATCTCTGGGCCTACTGTCCTGTTCTTGAAAATTCTGGGCTATTAACTGGGAAGGCGTTGAAGGGTAAGAACGGTGTAGGACTGGTAGGTGGCCTGTGGGCTATTAACTGGTTTTGTTTTCCTTCCGCGTTCTCTCGTGTATTCGCGCACGTAATTTCAAATTTTAATGCTCATTGGCCGCTCGGGTCTTCCCCTATGAATTTAGATGGAATATACGAAAGCATAAAAGTAAATTTGCTTCTGATTTTATCAGATTTTATGGGCTCATAGGCCTGCATTGCTTTTGTTAGCCTGGGCCCAAAGAACTTTTCGATGTTCATCGTGTTAGCCCAAACCAAAAAGTTATTATATTTGCACCCAAGACACACCAAAACAGAACAAAATTAAAAAAATTGTTAATGACCCACCCCAGTATTTTTGTTTGAATTTTCTAAGGAGAGGTACTCACATGAATAGTGCATGTCCTGTTCTAGTAATTTTTTTGTTGGTTTTCCATCCATTGTTATGACAATTCAAAGGCAATTACTATTCACATGAGATATGAGGAGAAGAATATGTATAAAGTTTTGGTATGGGAAGTGAAGAATGTGGCTAGGTATTTATAAAATAAATTTAAAAAAATGAAATTTTGGGTTTTTTTTTCCTTTTTTTTTTTCAATTGTTTTGTTATTTAAATTGGTTGCTGACTTAGCATTAAGTCATCTTGCCCAAGCAGTTGCCCAAGCAATGGCAAGCCTTGGCCATTGGAAACAGGATTGGGGGCCTAGGGAGCCCCTTGCCTGGGCTAGCCCTTCCTGTTGGAAATGCTCTTAGGAGAAAAACTTACCTATACCGGGAATTGGGGATACCACTGTGGGATAGTGCTATCCCGACTCAATTGCCATGTGTTTTAACTTTTCAACATGGAAATACGTAATAGATTTAGGATAACGCTACAGGGCATCCCTGTTACATCTAAGTTCTTCTCCTTTATTAAACATGGCTTCAAAAGACAACATGAACTTTATACAAGGAGTTCGCCCAGGACAAGTAAGTTGTATCAAGTTGCATGGCGAAAAACTCCAAAGAAGACTTTCATGTCATGAGACAGATTGAATCACAAGTATCGCGCGCCATTGAACAGAAGTCTCCACCCAAGTTTTTCTCCATTAACCTCTCCTACGAATGAATACACACACCCACCAGCCAAAAGTACAGTTTTTCTCCTTGGTTGCCATTTGCCAAAGAAGTCAGTACAATCTACATGCTCCACCACGACATCACTCTCAACTGTAGCTGAAGAGTCGCAAAACATGAACCCACCTGACTGTCACAATCTTTTTGTAGATAAACCTTTTTTTCTCTCTTTCACACTAATTTTAAACGCAGCTCTTTGCGGGCTGTGTTTCTTGAAAGGGAATGTTTTGTGATTGTGGTGTTTCAGTTAGTCACATCCCCAAAACTTAAAATCAAAAGAACACACTTCACTCCACTTCACTTCCCACCTTAATTATTGCAACTTCCCCAAAGACCCAACAAAATGCACCCCCCACCAGCATTGGATTTTTCCTCTTTCTAATCTCTTAAAGTAAAGTAGCTCAACAAACCACTGGCTTTCTAACGTTGTCCCCAAGCTCTGCTTCATCTGCTACAAGTGTCTGCATGAGTCATGACCTCTCATTGAGCTTGTTCATAGGGCCTATCTGGTTTGGACCCAAGTTAGCTAGACATTAGCGGATCATTTTCACTCAGGTCCACAAGGATAGTGCTAGACTTAAAGATCTTATCCTTGATGCCTTCTGCTTGGAGATAAGGTTTGTGAACAGTTTGATTTGCCAATCTTTAACAGGGCAGTGAGACATGATTAGACACGTGGAATGGGAAATGCGATTGTGATGTTCTTGGGGGCGCTTGGCAAAGCAAGCACTCTGTCACAGTCTTGGCCTTTTGGAAGCCACTTGGGACTTGGCCTCAGGAGGAGTCACCAAAATTGGCCCAAAGAAGAGAGATACTTATATGGAAACTCACGTAGATAGAGGTGACAATTCGTGTTCGCGCGTGTCGTGATTCGACCTTGTTTAGGGTATAAATAGAATCAGATGCTTTTGCAAATCACATGCGTAACATAAAATAATACACATAACCCCTATCTTGTAGCTGCTTTTGCCATTGGTGCAGATCTGATTGAAGTAGGTAGGTGAATCAAAGGATATCTCAGACAGGCAAAGTCATTCTATGAGCACTTGTGCCACTTTTATAAGGCTTGCTAAGCCGCCCCGGGATTAAGGACATAGTTCCCTTCCTGGTCTGGGTTAGGGTTCCAAACCTGCCATATCCCCTAAACCAGAGCTCGAGGTCTACTTCTACCTTTATAATAATCAAAATAATTACTTATATTATTGTTTCCAAGTCGTGGTCAAAATTGCCACTCCTAATCTAAAGTCACATGAGGCTGTCCAAAGCAGGATAATAACGTGGGGTTAATTTGCAACATGAATAATAGAAAATAAAGTCCATGTTATAAGTACTTTTAAACTACTTTGAAGTTCAAGAGGGACAAGACAACTATGAATTAATGGCAGGCAAAGTTTATCTGATTAAGACGTTTAAGGCGGATTTAGAGGGAGAGATAGAGTTGTAGAAAGCACGTGACATTGAGGTGGTGTGAAGATACAAGTGGACCCAGTGACTATAAGCACGGAAGGCCATGAAGGTTGAAGCTGTAGTCTTCATGTGGATATAAGATATCTGGCTTGCAGATAAATGCCAAGACAAGACATGCACCTGAGATATATTTGTCCCCAATATAAATATAATTATAATTAGTGAAAGTAGCTTAGAGCTAGCTAGCTATGGGAAACTTGGGTAGGAGAATTGCCAAGTGGAAGAGAATGGTGAGGCAACAGAGAGGGAAGCTTTATATTACAAGGGTCTGCATTTCTATGCTTCTTGGTTGCCACAAGTACTCTTGATTTGATTTGTGGCATCCATTTTTCTCGCCCCCCCTTCCATGATGTTAGAACCCTAATTGTTTTTTTCTATGATTATCGACATTTCATCGTATACGTAACAAGTTTGAGGTGCTAATCAGTCCATGCATGCATGCCTGCTGAAGATGGAACTGCTGCCAGACGGTCGTGCATCGATCAGAAGATCATGTCTTTATTTAGGTGGTGAGATTAAATTTGTGGGTCCATGAGACCCATGCAGTCCCAAAATGTATGAATATTAATTTGAGATATATTTATATAGCCAGGTGCTTGCTGTGAATTAAGAAGCATGTCTGAGAGAGAGAGAGAGAGAGAGAGAGAGACCTAGTTTGCAGTGTAAGGGAAAGGGAAAGGTAAATTAGTTTGTTACTGCTGACTGAGTGTGCTGTAATTTTGTGTTTTCTATACTAGATTGTATATGGTAAGAAAGTTAATTACTGTGTAAAATAATCTTCTTGTTTTGAGTGCAAGGAACCGTCTAACAAATGAATTTCAGATCTGCAGAGCTGTATATACATGAAAAATCCAAGTTTGAGGTATTAATTTATAGTAATAATATAAATGTGCAAATTAATGTTGTTAATAAATTTGAATTTTGAACGAATATTCCATCCAAAAGCTTCCTGTAATTCTGGCAGAGCACTGGATTTTGTCAATCTATCCTTCAACCTTCTTCATCTGCACACATACACAGTGGGGACAAATTACAGCTCCTCATAACAGAGACAGGCCTAGGTGGGTTGGCCCTGAGATAAGGATATAAGCGCTCCAAAACCAGTCCTTGAGCAGGGAGGGAGACAAAGCTGATGTGTCTGCCTTGTCATCTTTGTTTCAGCGGGGCCTCTCCATGTTAATAGCTGCCAACACTTGGTCACCCACCCTCTGATGATATTGCCTGATCATTATCTCTCTATAAAAAAAAGCAGCTAGCTGAGCTCAAGTTCCATGAGCAAGTTATCAACCAAAACACAAGTGCCTCTCTGACTGGACTGGACTATAGTCCGGGAACATGAAAGGACGGATGTCCTCTGTTCTGACGCCGAAGCAGCGGTCGTGGGATAAGTGCTCGAGGCTGATGAGGGAGCAGCGGACACGGCTTTATATCATGTGGAGGTGCACTGTCATACTTCTGTGCTGGGATGAGTGACAGGAAGAAGAGGGGTACATACTATACAGGGTTTAATGAAGCTGTAGATATATTGGGGAAGTTAATTAACTGTTGAGGCAAGTATGTGTTTGTGATCTGTTGAGTTTTCTATTCAAATTTCATACAAAAAGTTAACAAGAAAATCTGCTGCTGCTGCTGTGGCTGGGATGACTTCTCTTTACCCCTTACTGTTTTTTCTATTTTTTGTAAGTCATGACAACAATTGGAACAAAATCAATGCAATCCTCAACTGTGCCCCACGATCATTTCATCTACTGACATTGGTCTTCATTTTGTTGGAGGAGGTTTCGAGTTCAAATCCCATAATAAACAAGGCAAGACCTGGATTATTTTTTGGTTCTAGAAAAAATCTCTTCGTTCAAACTAAACTAGAACAAGGGAACAAATTCTCTTCATGGTTTTTTATTCCTTTTGTAGCTGGGCCATGGAATAAACCATTGTAACCCTCACATTTCAATATTTCAGTGAATTAGTAAGTAGAAAGGAAATAATACTGTGAACTCTTGGAAAACATAACTTATTTACGATTCCAGATACTGTTTTTTACAAAACAAAAAGTAGAGCCAACCTAAGAGGCAGCTCGAACCTAACATATAATATTAACCAAAAAAGAGTTCAAATTAACAAGCTCAATGAGCTAACGAACATAAAATCATATCCTATCCATCTATGTAGAACCCCGCCTCTCCCCCCACCCTCGAAAAACAAAAGGAAGAAAAAAAAAAAGATCAGAAAAACTTTTTGGTAGATTGAGGTCAAAGCCACTTCCCTGAGGAGCAAAGGGTTCAGGATATGACAAATCAACTCGATGAATCATCTCTTATTTCAAAGAAGTGGTTCACCAGAAGCTCCTTGTAGCCTTGTGGAGGACAAATCACAAGCCGATATCTTTGGGGCTAATCCTTGCTTACTTTGGCCTGCCGAGGTCATCATCACAACAAGAAGATTATACATTAGTTAGCTTCAACCACTAGACATAACTTGAGTATCAAAAAAACTGAAGTTTAACAGCATAACAGCAGCCCAGCCCCATCATTTGAAGCCATCATCAAAGTTAGGTGTTCAGAATAAGCAAACCAAACATTTGAACGAGGATGCAAGCCAGTCACGAAGTGGAATTATAATCAGGAAATTTACTTGTCATATCAGTCTCTATCCGTATCAATCATTAAGTAACAGGACATAATGCTCCAAAGAAGGCATGCATTACTGTGATGACCTGAATGAGGTGGCTATCGATATCTCATATTATGTAAGTGTTTCATTCTCTATACTTCCTTATGGAATCAACTGCAGCACCATTGTCATCTATATATATAAAGCAAAAGGCCTTGCTTAATGCAAACATTAAGAATTGAAATGATTAATTAAACGAGGGTAATATGGTAAATTCACACTTTTTCATATTAAAAAAATTAAAAATCAAAGAAAAATCAGATAATGGATCCTATTTTTATGGAACGCAACTACCCATTATCTTTTTTAATTCTAACATCAATTTAAAATTTAAAAAAAAAAAGGCTCTCGCAAGTGCGAAAGCACGTGCGGAGAGGCTATATTTTGAGAAACTTGAATGATATGCAATTATATTTAGAAAGGCCGAAAAAACCCATCCCGCAGGCAAACTTAAATTATAAACATAAATGTTGCTTGAATGAGGATTATAAACATAAATGTTGCTTGAATGAGGATTATAAACATAAATGTTGCTTGAATGATGCCCCCTCCCCACCCCCTCAATTTATGTCACCATGCTGACAAATGAAAATAACAGATTGAAAATGGGTAAATTATTCTGTTCACTCACGGGTCCTTTGTGCGCAGTTATCCTCCGAACTGATGGAGCTCGTGCCACTGATGAAGCAGCTGCAGCTGCAGCAACACGTATCCTGCAAAGAAGAAGAAGATCAATCTGCTTTCGTGCAACTCTCATACATAATATCAACCAAATATTTACAGTTGCCACTTTGTGATACCTTTTATGTACATCAACATATTCATCAGTTTCATCCACAATCTCCTCCTGCATTTGTCAACAAAGTCATCACTATAGTATAAAGTCTGCGGTCAATTGAACAATTTTCATCAACTGAAAGGAAGACAATATTAATTGCATGTACTTTACCTGCAGGAGTTCTTCGAATACATCTTCCAGGGTGATGATACCAATAACTTCACCATCCTCGGTATCCTCTGACAACTGGGGAAATCCATTAGTTGCTCCGTCACCATGGGATGCAAAAGTTTCCCTATTGCTATGAGGGGATCTTGGTACCCTGGGTATGTCAACAATGACACTGTCTGGCTTTCCATCTTGCTTGGATAGCAGAGGAGTAGTCAGTTGGGAGTCCGTGTCACTGACTCTGTTGTCTTCTTTCTCTGCATCAATCGGTGGAAGAGCCTTACTTTTCCCTTTAGACTTCACCACAGCAGCCATATGACTGCTGCCCTTTTGAAACTCATTCAATATATCATAGAGTGGCATATCTGCAGGAACTCTGGGAACACAACCCACACATAAGAACTGAATATTCCACACTCAGTACTGGAATTGAAGAAATTGAAAAAACATTAGCATATTTAAAGAAGTTGAAGCACACCGTGGAATTCTTCGGATGGAAACAGCACTGACTGGGGTCTCTGTTTCAGGTCGTACAGTGAGAAGACTTTTCACCTAATCCCCGAACAAAAGAGAATAAGGGGATAAAAACACGAGAATTACAGATCACAGATTTAGTGAGTTTACAATCTAGAATAGATACATAATATGAAACTCCAAAGATTTTAAGTTTTAACACCCACCAGCAGAAGTCCAATAATATTCCTTGAATTCCCAGAATAGACAGGAACTCGACTATGTCCCCGAGCAAGAACTTTCCCCATTGCTTCCCTGAGTAATTAATTTGAAAGAACAGAAATATAGTTACACTATTCATTGTACAATTTCAGCTGCAAATAAACTTGCAAAAAAAAAAGATAGAGAAGTTAATAAACCTAACAGAAATACAATCAAATCACATGTCTAGCATGTTGTATATGAAAGGATACTTATTGATTATCTTAAGTAGAATTTACTAGTAGAAGATGACAAATTGAACATAGCAATGGTTGATGGGTTGTCTTTCTGAAAAATAATAGAGCCGTAGCATCATTAACAGTGTCTCCCAACTTTACAGGTTGAATCCTAATTCTCATTTGTTACACTATGCTTATTTTAGATCACGATCATGATACATGCAAAAGGATGTTGGCTGCATAATGCCCATTTGATTCTTACAGGAACCAATGAGACAATTAACTAAGAAGGGTAAATGTGACTTATTCAGGAGCGAAGCTTACCAGTCCAACTTTGAATTGACATCTAAGGAGAAGGTTGACTCAATAGGCGTCATTGCCTCCTCAGCAGTCTGTTGACAAATAAATAAATAAATAAATAAGTTGAGTTTACATGATAGAAAGTGTATCAAGATTTATATCACTTCAAAGCAAAAATGAAATAGGAAAAATAAATACAAAGTAAGCTTCTAAGAGGAAACAATTTCATGCTGATGCAATATGAATAATTTAATATCACAACTTGTCACCCTAAAGCTGCTACTAATTTCTCTAACTCAAATTAAGATTAAGAGAATTCAGACACCTTTAAAATGAAAATGAGATGAAAAGTATTGCTTGATTATTCCACCTCAAAAGAAAGAGTACAATTAATTTTTTTCTATATATTTTGACATTTTCAACTTAAATTAGAAGTTTAATAAACAAGAATGGCTTCCTGTTTGATACATTGGATGGCTGCATTACTAGAAATTGCAAAAAAAGAAAACTACAACAGTTAAGCCTCTAAAATGACATGTGAGTTCCATTATAATGTGTACCTTTTCAGTTAAATCCAGTGCTCCACTAATTATCGTTGTCTCATCGTGTGTAAGTTCACCACCCTTGCCCTCCTATATGTGACAATAACATATTGGAATTTTTAAGAAGAGAAAACAAGTAAAAATGTTATCATATGTTTCACAGTCAGATAATTTTACCCAACTGATAACATATTGATTCTGAAGAGATTCACTTTACCTCCTGGCTGTGGATGGAGACAAGAGCTTTCAACTGCGCTCGCCTAAATAATGCTTCATTATGTCCCAGAACACAGTCCAAGATCTGGAACACATAAACTTCTTGGTGTCAACAAGTCGAAGTCAAATCAAACAGCATCATCACTAATTCGTTATTTGAATGGCAAGGTTATATCAAAGAGAAACTTTCAATTTCTAGTGCATATTAAATTCTGTTCTTTTGTTTTTGTTTCCTTTGGCTAGGCCACTTTCAGATTATATGAGAACTAATATATATCAGAGCTCAATTGCATGACAAACAAGATTTATTTAACCATTATAAGGAGAAACGAGATGAGATGAACAAAATTTATTCAGGTGGATCAAACAATTACATCATTTGGATGAACATATAAAACAAGCATCCCTCATCATTTGGACGAACATATAAAACAAGCATCCCTTTCTCTGTTTCCTGTCCTTATTAATCAAATATACACGCAAAGATAGTGGAGTTGTAGGAGTACCGTTTAATCGAAATTCAGGATTCCTGACTACGTAAAGTGGGGATCATACCAGAGCAAGCATAAACATTAAGCAATAAAAACTCCTCCGCATATACAATTAACTGAGTAGCGATGACATTACAAAACCAACATTGAAAGCAGGTATCATATCAAATTCATGAAAATATCAACTATCTGCCTGAAAATATACCTTGCCAATTGGATAAGCAATTGGATAGCAAAGAACCATCAACACTCGTACAAGACATACAAAGTTGGAACCAACGGCGAGTCCATATCTAGTGCATATTGCTTGTGGAATAACCTGGAAGAATAAAGGAAACCAGCAAACCAAATTCCAATTCAAACCCATCATGCGTGAGTATAAAGGTTAAAACCAAAGTGCTAAATCATCAAAAAATTCGGAAAAACAGCATACCTCTCCAAAAAACAGGACAAAAGTCACGGAGAGGATGATAGCAACATACTGATTGAAAAGTTTATCCAAATATATAGGAAGAGCCTGCAGATTGCAAATATCAAAGTTAAAAGCTGGCATTAATAAGAATACTACTCATATTGAATCTTGAACCTTTTCATTTTCAATCAGACACATTTAGCAGATTCTGGTATCAAGAATCAATTTCATTATCACAAAACCAAATCCAATCCAAGAACAATGGCATTGAGAACCAGAGAGACTGCAATTGATCAAATTACTTACTTCCATAGCAGCCGCATTACACAGAAGCAAAGTAACGAGCAGCTGATGCTGCTTCTGAACCACCGGCAATATAAGAGCTGAGCACAAAAGCACACAAATATGTCAATAACTCCGATAAGTCGGCTATTTACGAGCGAGACGAAACCGAAATTGAACCGAAACGGAAACGAACCTGCTTGTTTTTTCTCCGTGGGAGAGCCACTACGCTGTAAAATCTCAAGGTCGACGAGGCCGAGCGACATGAGTCCTAGGGTTAGGCCGGACATTATACCGGCGAAGAGGACGAAGAAGCACGAGAGCCCCGCGTAAATGAACCACCAGACCGATCCGAAGGGTATGCCGCCAACCTCCGATCCGAGGCCCGAGTTCCGAGTCAGCAGCCGAGTCACCATTATCGCATTTATCGGATGCATAGCTGCTTATGGCTTCTTCTTCTTGGTGATCCAGGTAGCGCCTGCTTCTTCAATCGCTCTCTTTCTCTCCCAGAATGATAGAATCTGAGTGCTGACTGAGTGAGAGGTTTGTTGAAGTTGGGAGTTTGGATTTGGACACTGATTTTATTGGATGGACACGTGGCAGAATCTTAAGGATTTTGTTAGAATCCGTGATCGGGAACAAGGTTTTCTGTTTCTTCTTTTTAATACAAGGTTTTTTGTGCTTTTAGTTTACCGCCTTTTGACCTTTTAACCTTTCGGTTTCTCTATTCCAGTTGAAAAGAGAAGAGAGAGGGAGGGACAAAAATGGAACAAAAATCGTTGGGTTTTGTCCTGTTTTTAATTAATTGATCTTTTTTCTAACCATTGTTACCATCTTATTAATCCTTTGTTTGTTATCTTCTTATTGCAGGACGCCCAAACAATGAAGGCCAAATGGGGAATGAACAATATATGCCAGAATTGGTAAATTATTAAGTTTTGTCTTGTTTTTCACTTATTTTTTAGGCTTATTTACACCAATGTCTTTTGAAATTACGGTCAAATCTCATTTTGTCCTCCAAACTTAAAATGGCCAACATTCCCCCTTGATCATAGTATGGTGACCCACTTTGCTCCCCACCATCAACTCATTCCAAAACAACCTCCTACTAAAAAGTCCCACACAATTCCACATTTTTAAAAATCCTTCGAAATTAGCAAGTTTTTGAATACAATATGACTTTTTGTTACTTGTTTAAAGTCTTGACTAAATACCACTAGATTTTGGCACTCTCTTTTAAAAATCCTAATGGTCTTAATGGAATACTACAAGATTCGTTTAGATTATTTAAAAGTCTTAATTGAATACCACAAGACTTATTTATCTCACAATAGTATGTTAAAATCTCAATTGAACACACATCTTGCTTGGTTGGAATATTTGTATCTAAAGACTCTGCTGGACTAAGCAACTCATCATGAAAAATAATTATACTATGTCATGCTCTATCTGGGTAAAAATTATCTTTAAACCATTATGGAGGTATACTAGTGAAATCTAATTTTACATTTTTCCAAAGAGGGAGATAAAAATTTATTACTTCTTTTATTTTGGAAGAAAATGAAGATAAGTGATCACTACTTTCAACATAAGGTTGACTTAAGGAACCATACTCGGCTAAGAATCCTAGAGTAATTAAGAAAGTTTTCTGTTTATGTTCTAAATGTAGTTCTCTATATTCTATCATGTTAATACTAGCTAAATAAATAGTATAATGAGAACAACTTTTTGCAATAATTTTGATACTAGGTTGTGGATTATTTTTCAAATTGAAAAGAAATGCTTGGATATATATATAATTGAAGGGTTGCATTTTTCTCATATTCTAATATAATCACTTGACCCTTAAAATCTTCTAGTAGAAATCTATACCTTTCTCAAGCTAGGGTTTGAAGAAAATATGGATTTTTAGTTTTTTGCTCAAGGAAAAATTCTTTTTAGTGCTCAAGTAAGTTGGGCTCATTAGCCTATTTTCCTTGTAAAACCATGCTCAAATTTTGACATCTTAAATTAATAATTCTAAAATTTCTTACTATTGCCTCATACTCTTTCTTTTGCTCCTCATGTTTTTCCTACAAAAAAAAAACAAAACAAAAACAAAAACAAAACAAAAACAAAAAACTGTGGTTTTTGCTATTTTATAATCATAATTATAAACTAAAATATCTTGCTCAAGGCTTTGATAAGTTTTTCATGCTCTTTTCTCATGCTTTCATTATTAGTTCTAATATTCCAAAAGTTATCCAAAAGAACTTTTTGTTTTTCTGCCAATGATGCTTGGGTATGATATTTTAAAACAGGATTTCTAATTTCCTGCACTGGAATTCCATTATAATAATACGTATTTACTACTAGTCTTGCTTGAATACTTATACTTAATGGATTACCACCTTGTGATGGTGTACCATTATTTTTTCTGTCAGAGGATGGTGCTCCAAAATAATACATACATGTTAATTAATAATATGGGATAAGATGTCTACTAAAGTATTATCATATCTTTAATATGCTCAAATACTGGTTTAAATCTATTTCATGTAATAGAATCTACAAAACTAACCCAACTTCAGGCTTCTTATTTGTTAGTATTAATTTATTATAATGAGAAACAATATTTTGACAATCTGTTCTAATAGTAAATATTTAACTATGTAAAAATAATGAAAATGCTTCAAAAAAGTTTATAACTCCTAAAATTTATAAATCTGTGGCTAGAAGTCTAGCCTATATATCCCTAAATTTACCTGATGTGTATCTACAAACTTGTTCTTCATATTTAGGTTCTTCTAATATAATTAGAAATAAATTACTCTAGTATTTAATAGATTAACTTGATCCTTGTTGGAATGATACTCTACTAATTTGAGCGATATTTCCACCTGTAATTAATCACATCAAATTTTGGCGCCATTGCCGGGGGTCGACTTAGTCTGTTAATATTAGTGTGCTTTATTTTCTAGTTGTACTTTGATAAGTTAAGTTTTTTTTTCCAGATACTTCTGCAATCCCATTTGATTCATCACCAAAAAAAAAACACAAAACAAAAGGAGAGAACGTGAGAAGCTTTAGACCACAAACAACAAAAGCAAAAGAAAGATAGCCTAGCATAAAAGAAAGGAGGAAAAGAAAAGGAAACAGGGCCGTGTAAAACAAAGAAGGTTTATGCAGCAATTCCAAATCTGCCACTTGGATCCTGGCAACATATAATTCCCACTTCAAATCAGGATTCCACTTCCTTTTTCAATTCTTCTTCCTTTTCCTTTTAAAATAAAAATTTCTTTCCAATTTTATTTGAGTTTTAAAATTTAAGTTTCTTTCC